CCCCTTCTGTTTACTCTGCTCACATATGATTGTGCAGCTACCCATCCAGGCTGTCACATTGTAAAGTTTGCAGATGATACAGCGGTGGTGGGATGCATCACAAACAATGATGAGTCCAGCTACAGGCAAGAGGTGGAACACCTGGAGAGCTGGTGCAGAGAGAATAACCTTCACATCAATGTGAAGAAGACAAAGGAGATGATTGTGGACTTCAGAAGGAACAAAAACACCTACACCCCCCTGAACATAAGAGGATCTGCGGTGGAAGTGGTCTCCAGCTACAAGTACTTGGGTGTACACATGAATGACAACCTCAGCTGGAGCAACAACACCACCAGCCTGATCAAGAAAGCTCATCAGAGACTCTACTTCCTCAGATGGCTGAGGCGAGCTGGTCTGGAAGCTCAGTCCTCACCTCCTTCTACAGGTGTGCAGTGGAGAGCATCCTGTGCTCCAGCATCAACGTGTGGCATGGAGGCTGCACGGCTGCAGAAAGAAAAGCTTTGCAGAGAGTGGTGAAGGCTGCACAGAAATCTGTTGGAATCAGTCTCCCCACCAACACAGACATCTACACCTCCAGATGAAGGAAGAGGGCCACCTGCATCATGAAGGACCCCACCCACCCAGCACACACACTTTTTGCCCCACTCCCCTCAGGAAGGAGGTTAAGGAGCATTAAGTGTCGAACCACTAGACTGAGGAACAGCTTCTACCCTGAGGCTGTTAGACTCATGAATCTCTAACTAGAATAATCTCTGTGAAAAAACATATCATGTTGCTGCTGATCTGTTTCAATGTTGCTGCTGATCTGTTTAAATGTTGATGTGTTCATGCGTGCACATCTGCTCACAGACTCATGTTCATGTTTGTGCTGATGTTCAATGTTTTATGTTATGAGTGCTTAGTGTATATTTAGTTGATGTTTTTCTTAGTTCATATCTTAGATGTTATTACTGTTTTTCTTAGACATTTTATTGTTGGATGTAACTGGGACCCCGTGTACATAATTTCGCTCCACCACATGTACCACATGAGGTGCAAATGACAATAAAGAAACTCTGACTCTGACTCTGACTCTGATATTATAGGCAGAAACATGGGTGTGCTATGGGGTCTCCAGTTTCTCCTATTGTTGCCAACCTGTACATGGAGGAGGTCGAAAAGAGAGCCTTGACGTCCTTTTCAGGGACACCACCAAGTCATTGGTTCAGGTATGTTGACGACACCTGGGTTAAAATTAAATCTCAGGAAGTCCAACATTTTACTGACCACATCAACTCTGTGGATAAATACATCAAGTTCACACGAGAAGATGTAAAAAATGGCAAGTTGGCTTTCTTGGACTGTGAGGTCTCAGTCTCTGATAGAGGACATTTGCAAACTGAGGTGTACCGCAAACCCACCCACACAGACCAGTATTTGCAGTTTGACTCCCATCACCCTTTGGAGCACAAGTTAGGAGTCATCAGGACTCTGTATCACAGAGCAGACAGCGTCCCCACTAGCTCAGGAGCCAGGCAGAAGGAGAAATCCCACACAAGACAGGCTCTAGAGCAATGTGGATATCCTAACTGGGCCTTCCTGAAAGCAGAGAAGAAACCCAAACAGGACTCCAGTCAGCCAACAGGTGAAAAGGAGGAACCCAGACCCAGACCAGTGGTCATTCCGTATGTTGAGGGAGTATCAGAGAAACTGAGACGTTTATTTTCTAAACATAACGTCCCAGTGGCTTTTAAACCCCAAAATACATTACGGCAAAGACTGGTTCATCCCAAAGATCCAGTCCCCCGGCACAAACAGAGTAATGTTGTGTATGCTGTTCAGTGTCAGGAGGGCTGTGATCAGTCTTACAACGGGGAAACAAAACAGCCACTTGCCAAAAGGATGGCCCAGCACAGAAGATCAACATCATCAGGCCAGGACTCTGCGGTCTACACTCATCTCCAGGCCAGTGGTCACTCTTTCAGGGATGAAGATGTTCACATCCTGGACAGAGAGGAACGATGGTTTGAGAGAGGAGTAAAGGAGGCCATCTTTGTGAAAAGAAACCGTCCATCATTAAACAGGGGTGGAGGCCTACGTTTTCAATTGTCCCCCTCTTACAATGCTGTGATTGCTAGTATCACTCAGCCCTCTGTGAATAGTAAACAGCCATCAGTGTGCTAATGATCCATTGTTAGGCTGATGGTCCTTCTTGAGCATGTGATCAGCTGGTTTTGGTTGTCAGCAGCAAAACTGGTTGATCCACTCTGAGAAGGTGCTATTTAAGAGACTGAGCTGAATACAGCTCCTCAGACTGAGGAAGTCTCTCGGATGAGGGACGAAACGTTTCTACATGTTTTGTTGTTTTGCTTTGTTTTGTTTTTTTGAATGTCCAGAGGACCAGATTTAACTTTTTTAACTTTTTGATACTTTTAGCAAACCTTTTGTCACTTTTAATTTTAATTACCTTTTGTTAATTTAAGCTTCGCTTTTGCTATTTCAGCTCTTAGCTAGCCTTTTCTTACTTATTTCTTCAGCTAGTCTTTTCGTACTTTAGCTGTAATGTTTTGCTAATTTAACTGAGACCTGATTTAACAAAGCGTGATGACAACAGTGGATAATAACGACAACAATAGACAAACATAAGAGGCATACAATTTTAATTTTTTTATCTTTTTACAAATTAAAATCAAATGGCAACCAAAAGGACAGTCAAAAGGAAAAAAATTGTGAAAAAGCAGCTAGATTATAAGGTGGTGTAGAAAACTAAAAACAGGAACATGTCTGCATTACTTCTTGCCAGGAACTTAGCAGATGTTTGAAGCCAGAGGTCAAAGGTCGAGAGCTTCAGATCTTTTTGCAAGATATTCCAGGAAACTGCAGCAGAGTAGTAGAAGGTCCTTTTGTCTAGTTCAGTCCTCACTGAGGAAACACTGCAGGTAATAATGTCCTGAGAGCGCACGCTGTAGCTGCACTCACGCAGAGACATGTAGGAGGAGATGTATGAAGGCAGCAGACCAAGAAGTGATTTAAGGATGAAAATGTACCTGTGGGAGGGTGTGCGTGACGTTAATAATGTCTAGTTAACAAGTTAATACAGGGTGCAGTGACAGGTACAGTAGTTACAGACAGTTATGAATCGGTACATTCGGTAATATTCTTCATATTTTTTACATAAAATGCTGTTTTTAATAGTTTAAAAGTGTGTTTTTATGAATAAGTCCAAACTGAGATTTAAGATGCCACAGGGAGCAGTTCTGATGTGACAAAAGTCTTAGCATGTATTCTTTTTGTGTGTTTTCCTGTTTTCAAATTGATGGTAAACAGTTCCAGGCAAATAAAGCATCTGAGCAGTAAGATTTTCCAGAATATGTCATTTGCTTGGGATCATCCTGGAACTAAACCACCAAGACCGGACTTCACATTGGACTTCTGTTGTGACTTGGCTTTATATAAATAAACTGAACTGAATTTAATTTAATTTAATTTGGCATGGGCAAGAGAAGGAGAATAAAGGTGGGGAATGTCGTGATGAAGTTTGCAAGTATTGTGATGACTCAACAAGTCACAGGCGAGACAAAGATTTCTCACCTAAATCCCACCAGGACAGGTCTGCTGCTGTAGGTGTTGAGCTTGTGAATGTCTACTTCCCCTCTGATCTTGTGGGCCAGGCTGACTGTGGTGTCTGTCTGGATAAGCTAATCAGACTTGGCTCTCAAAGATGGTGCCCCCAAGCTAACCCTAACCCTGCCAGGTGCTGGGCGCCATGGTGCTGCCCTGTCAACATCATTGTTTGTCGCCAGATCAAATCCGCCTGCAGATTTGGGATTTGCTGTAAAAATACTTTACTTTAATTTGTGTGTGGGGGTTACTTTGAAAATCACTTATTTTTTCCATGCCAGTTTTAAACTATCATCACCTTTTGTTGAATAAACATTAAAAATATACCTTGAACATAATGTTTCCCCCAAAACTCGTGTGGTCTGTTGGACGTATTTACACCTATATTTTGTAGTCTGAGGGTTTCACTACAATTTATTCACTGGGTCCTGGACTTCTTAACAAAAAGACCACAATCTGTGATGACCCACAACTTCTCGTCCTCCACCATAACCCAGCACTGGCTCCCCTCAGAGTTGTTTGCCGAGCCCTCTCCTGTTCACTCTGCTCATGTATGATTGTGCAGCTACCCATCCAGGCTGTCACATTGTAAAGTCTGCAGATGATATAGCGACGGTGGGATGCATCACAAACAATGATGAGTCCAGCTACAGGCCGGAGGTGGAACACCTGGAGAGCTGGTGCAAAGAGAACAACCTTCACATCAATGTGAAGAAGACGAAGGAGATGATCGTGGATTTCAGAAGGAACAAACACACCTACCCCCCGCCCCAAACATAGGAAGCTCTGCAGTGGAAGTGGTCTCCAGCTACAAGTACTTGGGTGTGCATCTGAACAACAACCTCAGCTGGAGCAACAACACCACCAGCCTGATGAAGAAAGCTCATCAGAGACTCTACTTCCTCAGGCGGCTGAGACGAGCTGGTCTGGAAGCTCAGTCCTCACCTCCTTCTACAGGTGTGCAGTGGAGAGCATCCTGTGCTCCAGCATCAACGTGTGGCATGGAGGCTGCACAGCTGCAGAAAGAAAAGCTTTGCAGAGAGTGGTGAAGGCTGCACAGAAGATGTTGGAGTCAGCCTCCCCACCATCACAGACAGGCCCTGAGTGGCCAATTGGGACGGTATGGAGAATTCCCGGTGGGCAGGTCTGATTTTTGGGCTGCAGGGCCGGCCCTCCCTGTTTTTCTTTTTAATTTTTAGAACTTTCTATTAACAACATATAAACACAGAACACACTACCGCTGCTCCTGTGCCACCCTGCCTCCACCGCAGGGCTGACCCCAGCAGCTCTTGTTTTTTTTTCTTTTTTACACAAGTCGGCTCCGCTGCGCAACCTGTCAATCAATCCAGTGGGCATGTCAGCAAATGACCAATCGATAACCTCAATTTGTCCCCAAGGTAGACGCCCCTTACGTGCAGATCTGAGGCTACAGCCTGGACGCTTTACAGTCAGAGGGGGTTTGTGAAAAATCACCAGAACAAAATGGCTAAACGGTGTCAGTGGAAAACAGGTAATACAGACACGTGTTACCCTGAGAGTTTAGAGAGTGGGATACAGTTTATTCTTTTTCAAAAATTAAACGGAGTTTGGGAAACGTAAAAAGCCGGGGGCCAACTCAATCAACTGAGCACAAGTTATAAACAGGAAGTAGCTACCACATGTTAATCTCTACGAACTGCAGGTAAATCCTCCTTTTTCTGTCACAATTACATTGTATGTTTAATGGTTAAATTAAAGGTTAATGTTTAATTCAGGTTATGTTTATTTGTCATATGCAGGTTAACACAAGGTTAACAGTACAATCAAATATTCAGGATGAGAAAAACTGATTTGACTCACTAAAACAATGAACAAACAAACAAGAAATACTAAAGCATTCAATAAGGGTACAACATAAAGTACCAAAAAGTGAAAAGTAAATACAATATTTACAAGGTCCTAAAAAAAACAGTAAACAACATGGTAGAATATAACAGTGCAAGTAGGATGAACTTGTATGAATAAGTATTTCAAGGTAGTAATATAAGCTTAAATTCACATGATGTATACTGTACATAACTAACAAACTACACAGGTTGTGTGACAGATTATTGCACAGGTAGTGAGTAACATTGAGATGAATTATGATGGTAAGGTAGATACATACATGATACAGCCGCATAATGAATTAGCAATAAAATATTAGGTGTCACAAGTTAATATTAGTCATATTAGTTGTCACAGATGTAGCTTGGGGCAATGTTATTGCCAGTTGTTCTGTAAGGGTCCCACCGCCTGCAGCCTGCCTTGCTGATGGCCGCTGATTACCAACACCTGGCAGCCATCAGCCTGATGAGCCTCTCCATCTACTTAAGGCTGCAGCCCGGTGTGATTCAACGCTGGAGCATATCACCTCTCATGTTTCCTGGTTCCTTCGTGTTTTGGATTCTCCTCGTGGCCTGACCTGGATCCCTCGGCTTGTCAGGTGTTCCTCGTGTCTCTTTGCCTCCAGTTGCCAGCCTTCCTCGTTTCCTTTTGGACCCCTGTTGGATTCCCTTCTGCTGCTCACTCCTTGGACTGAAGGACCAGCTCATTCTCCTTCGGGTTGGACTGTAAGGACAAGACGTTCTTTAAATCTACCACTCTGGTCTTCCCCGTTGGACAAACAGTAACCTCTCGTCCCTCTTTCCAGGAGCCGCTGAGAAGCAGCGTGTGGACTTTAATTTGTGCACTGTAAATAATAAACACTGTTCTTTTGTATTTCCTCTGTGTCTGCCTCGTTCTGGGTCTCTTAACATCTGGGTTCCCCGCGCAATCGTAACATGTTCAGTGTTATTTATTGGGAGTTCAGTAATCTGACAGCTTGTGGATAATTGTCTTTGAGTCTTTTAGTGTGCAATGGCAGACTCTTGTATCGTCTACCTGAGAGTAGTAGATGGACGAATCCTTGTGCTGGGTGGGTGTGGTCCTTAATGATGATGCGTGCTTTATGCAGACATTGGCTGTGGTAGATGTCCTGGATGGTGTGGAGACTTCTACCAGTGATATCCTCTGCTGTTTGCCCTTCTGGCTCTGACTGGTGCAGTTTCCGTAACACCCTGTGAAGCAGCCTGCCAGCCGGCTCTCAATGGTGCACCTATAAAAGTTGGTGAGGATGCTGGTGTTTTTACCAAACTTCTTTAGTCTTCTTAAGTAGAGTATTTGTCTGTCTTTCTTGACCACAGTGTTTGTATAAAGTCCAGGACAGATCCTCAGTAACATGAATGCCAAGGAACTTGAAGCTGCTGACCTGCTCCACCTCAGCGTTGTTTATATACAGTGTAGGTGTTACCTTCTCCAGATGGCTGAGAGAGGTGCTTAAGCTATTTGTGCTTTGTTTTGTATGTTTTATATGTAGATATATTTTGTAACTTCTGGTTGCATGAGTTTAGTGTTTGTTAAAACTAAACTGATTTTGTACAAAGTGTTTAATAGGTTGTGTAATGTAAAATTTACACTCTTACATATTGAATTTCACTGAGTTCTTACCCTGTGCCACTCTGTAGTATGAAAACATCTACGGCAGTAACTATTTTAAGTTATTAGTAGCTTAGAATTCTTTTTTGCCTTAATGTTTAGCCTTAGTCTTGTTAGTGTGTGTGTATTTAAGTCTGTTTGCCTGCGTCCCTCATTGTCTGGTCATGTGTCTCACTGCTCCTCGTGTCCTGCTCCTCGTGTCCTGCTCCTCGTGTCCTGCGTCCTGCCCCATGATTTATGTAAGTTTGCTGCCCCGTCAGCCATCTTTATTTTGTAAATAATAAATTTATTGATTTATATTCTTTGAGTCTTGCCTGCCTGCCTGCACCAAATGGGTCTCCTGCTGAGAAATCATCACAGTCCATTGTTGTCATCATTCTTTGTTGAAATCAGGTCTCTTGTAAATGAGTTTCGATGCTCAATGGGATTAACCTGTCTAAATAAAGGTTGCATGAAAAAAGATGGCTGCTAAAGTCAAGTGACCTTAATCAATGGGAGGATGGGCAGGAGTAATATCATTCGTTGACCTAAAGTTGTGTAAGAATTATATTAATTAATCCGCTACACAAAGTATTCAGTAATATTTTAAAATAATAATAAACTTTGTAATCTTTGAAATTGTCCTTCCGGATGCTTCGCTGACCCACTCAACTCCAGCTCTCTCCAAGTGCCCGGGCCTGGTACGTGGCCGCGGTGGTTTCGGCTGTCTCCAGTGGAACTTAACCAACTCCGGACCTTCTGCTGCATCATCTCCTGCCGACCATCTGCTGGATATTCGCCTGTCTGTGTCACGATTCACGCCTGTCTGATTTAAATTATTTTCACTCTGTTCACTGCTTGGTGTCTGTGGACTCTTTTTCTTTTC